ACTTGTGGTGATGAAATGCTGAAACAAACAGTAAACTACACTTCTGCAGGGTTCTCTATATGGCCATAGAAGGAATGTATTTGTATTAATCAGATTTTCATCACTGTGATCAAATATCTGAGAAAGGCATCTTAAACAAGGAAAGATTTATGTTGGCTCTCAGTTTCAGAGGTTTCAGTCCATGGTCAGCTGGCCCCATTGCTTTTAGGCCTGTGGAAAGGCAGAAACATCACAGCAAAGTGTCTGGGAGAGGAGAGATGTTACCTCACGGCAGCTAAGAAGTGAAGATATCAAGAGCTCCAGCTAGAGGACGGGGTGGGGACCAGACAGAGTCGCCAAAGTCATGCCTCCATAACCTGCAGCCAGGCCCCAATTCCTGTTTCTATCCCCTCCCAGTAATATCACCTAATGGATTAATCCATTAATCAAGTTCGAGCCTTCATGATCTCTGAAAACACCACCGATGCACCCAGAAGTACTTGACTAATTTCCTAGGTGTTTCTCAGCCTAACCAGGTTGATAATCAAGATTAACCATTCTACAAAGTAGTCTACATGGACGGTGCTCCAAAGAGTTTTGGAGAATGCATCTCTACACAGCAGCCCTAACAGTCTGGTTGTATATACTAAGTAAGTAGAATGAGCAAGTTAATCAGAATGAAAGGATATAGGAGAGACATAAATTGAAATGAATACAATTCACAACTCAAAAATCTAAAACCTAATAGAGATATGAACTCTACACTACCCTGTCAGTACACTCGGCATTATTTAGTAAGTGTATAATAGAAGTTAACTTACTTCCCTGGTAGCATGAAAAATGCTACTAACAGATATTGTCTGAATCATTCAACCTTTTATTTCTTTTCCTTAATGGAGTCAAGGGAGTCCAAGGACTTAAGATTGGGCAGGGGGGGCTGGGGATTTAGCTCAGTGGCACTGCATCTGCCTCGCAAGTGCAAGGTCCTGAGTTCAATCCCCAGTGCCAAAAAAAAAAAAGATTGGGCAGAGGTCTAGGGTGTTGAGACTGACTAGAGATGGCCTTTCTCTGTTCTGTCTCTGTCCAGGTGTAGTAAGGCAAGAATGGAGCCTGCCGTAACACCTGCGAGGCCAAAACTTTTAACAAAGCTGTTAAAAGGGACAGTGCTGAGATTTCAGAAAGATAAAATTAGCCTTCCAGGTACCTCTTCTGCTTGAGCTCATCTGCTGACTCCATTTCTCATTCTCTTTCTTAAATCTCTCTTCCCACACTTACTTTTCCCTTTTCATGTGCTGGGGTCCCCAGGCACATACTCCTCTAACTTGCTTTCCTACTCTCCCACACACTCAAATGGTTCCACTCATTCAGGATACACCTAAGTCCTTCTTCCTCTGGAGAACCTGTTATCGATCAAACTATATCCTCCTCAAATCCTTACATTAAAGCTCTAGCCACCAGCACTTTAAATATAACTAGATCTGGAGATAGGCATTTGAGAAGGTGACTGAGGTAAAAGGGAGTCATTATGATGGATCTGAATCTACTGTTATTGGTGTCCTTATAAGAAGGAACAATTAGGACTCTTGGGGAGACACTAGGGTCATGCGTGCACAAAAGGATGATCGTGGGAGAAGGAGCAAAACAGTGGCCAACTCCATTCCAAGAAAAAGGTCTTCTCGGTAACTTGGTATTGGACTTCTGGCATACAGAATGGTGAGAAAATACGTTTCTGTTACATAAGCCACCTAGACTATAAAACTCTTTTATAGAAACCTTAGCAAACTCAAATACATTGTGCTGCTGGAACATGGGATGCCACTGTAACTAACACCTGAAAGGTGGAAGGAGCTTTGGAACTGGGGGATGGAGAGAGGCTAAAAGAACTTGGAGGTGCATGTCAGAAAAGCCTAGATTGTCTTGAAGAAACTGTTAGTAGAAATATAGCTGTTAAAGGTGATTTGGCTGAGGAACATACTATTGAGACTGGAAGAAAAGTGACCCAAAAAATTTGCACAGCTGAATTGTTTTCTGGAGTTTTGTAGAAGGTAGAATCTGTGAAAGACAAATCAGATATTTCACAGAAGAGATTTCTAAACCAAATGTTGAAGATGTAGCTTGCTTTCTCCTGACTGCTTACAGAAAAATGCAAGGAGAGAGAGATAAACTGAAGAAGGAATTGTTAAGCAAAAAGAAATCAGAACTTGAAGATTTGGGAAATTTTCAATCTATCCACATTGAAAAAAAAAGAAAGAAAAAGAGAGAAAATATGCTCTGGCAAGAACACAGAGGAAATGGCTGGATGCTATGGTAGGGACACAATGTCACAGCATCCCCCACAAAGGCCTGGTGTCCCGGGTGATGCTATTAGGAGCTGCGGAACTTTTAAGAGGTGATGCCTATTGGGAGGTCCTTAGTTTCTCGGGGACATGAGGTGATTCCCTCTGGACTCCTTGAGGAGGCCTGGCCCCTCCTGTCTCCTCTGCTCCTGGCTGCAATGTAATCACTTGCTCGTTCATGCACAAACTCCCTCCTGCCATTGCTACCTGGGCCACGGGTAGTACAGCCAACAACGGTCCTCAGCACAGAGCTTGTGCTCTGCCATTTGGATTTGCAGCCTCCTAAACTGTGAGCTGAATAAGCCTCTTTTTCTTCCTACGAGACCTGATCAGGTATTTTGCTATTACCATTACACAAAGCTGACCAGTACATTCTCTGGACAATAATATGATAAATTATGGTCATAGCTCTTGGATCCAAAACCAAATTCAACAGACACACTGCTATCTCGGGCTGAAGGTGATTGAGATCAGATGAAATGAAGGAAGGCTGGTGAACTTCTGGGTTTCTGCAGGTCAGGCCAACAGAGCTATCCAACTGCAAACAACATACAGTAATAGCATTGCGGGTCCAGGAACCAAGGAAATCAGAGTGGTCCTACTCATTATTAGCCATCGGCAAACTTTTTACTTCCTGTCTTTGTGACCCTATGATCTCCTGGCCTAGACATCTTAATTCCAAAGGGAGGAATTCTTCCACTATGAGACACAACAATAATTCCATTGTACTGAAAGTTAAAACTGCCACTTGTTCACTCTGGGCTCCTCATGCCTCAAACTCAATAGGGGAGAAAAGGAAGTTACTGCATGTTTGGGGTGACTGGCACTGACACCAGTGAGAAATTGGGTTGCTACCAGAGAAGGAGCACATCTGCAACATGGGAGCTCCCTTACGGTGTCCCTTAGCATCGCCATAACCTGTTATTAAAGTAAACAGAAAACTACAAGAGCTGAGTCCAAGAAGGCCTAGTAACGGCCCAAACCACTTAGGAATAAAGATTTGAGGGCCGGGGATTTAGCTCAGTAGTTCTGCTGCTCACCTCGCAAGCACAAGGTCCTGAGTTCGATCCCCGGTACCCCCCCCAAAAAAAAGATTTAAATCACTCACAGGTAAAGAACCACAAGTGAAATGCTTGCTAAGGGCAAAGGGAATGTGAAGTAGGTAATGGAGACGGTTATAAATACCAGCTATGATCCAGTGGCCAGTTACAGAAGTGAAGATTGTCACGAAAATTTTTCCTTGTTTTTATTACGAATATATTTTATGTGTGTTTATATATTACCTTTGTTTTCTTTCCTCTTTTGTCTCTTCATCATATAACTTCAGTAACTTTCTATCCTATATGTAAGTATTGCTAACTTCACACAGTAATATTTAAGTCAGGGGATATCAAGAAGAGGAATTCTTTGAGAAACAGTTAATGCATTTTCTGTTACACACAGATAGTTATGTCACAAGGCAGAAGTATGACCTTGTTATAGTCTTTATTTACTGGTTAAGTTCAAGCCTTAAGGATTGCATATGGGCACCAAGTTAACCAAGGTACTAGCTCTACAGTGTTAAACATATGTGCCAGTTTGCTTGGGCCACTGTGCCCAGATATTTGGTCAAGCATTACTCAGGATGTTTCTGTGAAAGTGTTTTAGATGAGCTTAAAACTTAAGAGCGGTGGTATTCAACAAACACAGCAGTTTACCTTCCATAATGTAAGAAGGTCTCATCCAATCATTTGAAGGCCTTAATAGAACAAAGACTAATCTTCCTTGAGCAAAAAGGAATTTTGTCAGCTGGCTGCCTCCACACTCAAACTACAGCTTTCTTCAGTCTCCAGCTGGCCAGCTGAGCCCCATCAGATTTGGAACTCACCAAGCCGGCACACTCACATGAACTCCTCAAAATACATCTACCTCTCATAGATAGATAGGTAGGTAGATAGGAGTAGACAGAAATGCAGATAAAGATATAAAAGTTGTCCTTTGGAGATTGTTTCTGTGGATACCAAGGTCTGCAGATGTTTGAGTCTCGTATAAAATGGTACACAGTATTTGCATAGACTCTGTACACAGCTTCCTATAAGCTTTATATGATTTCTAGATTTTTTTACAACACCTAATATAATATAAACAGTATGTAAACAGCTATCATGCTATATTATTTAGGGAATAATAATGAGAAAAAGTCAGTGCATGTTCAGAACAGATGGAATTTTTTAAAAGTATTTTCAATCTATGTGCAAGTCTCAACTTCCTAAACAGGGAATAATTCAAGATTAAGATAGCAGCTTAAAATCCTGTGTCCACAGTTCTTATCAGGTGCTCCAAATATGTTCGCTGAATTCCCAAGACAGAAGGAGGTGGCTGCTATGGGAAGACTACCCTGAATACCCAGGACCCCGTGGTTACTCTGCAAGAGCACAGAAAAAAGCCCTTGCTGATTGCATTAAGGTTTCCACAGGAGAACCTGATTACTGATTGTTGTAAATCCTCCCAAACACCCAGCTCAGCTATGGTAACATTTTGGCTCAATATGTCATACTTTAGTAAAGTTGCGGTTATTTGTATAAGAACACATTTTTTTCATTTGTGCACATCAATTCTAAGCGATGACACTAACGCTATTCAACAAGCACCAAAGGTTTCCCTAACACTCTCATATTAACTCTCTCCAGCACCAGGGCTACTTACACCATACTTTCCGGCTCCACTGCACAAGCACCCACGGCTTTGGTGACGTTCACCAGAAGAGCTTGGTTTATTCCCACAAGGAGGTTCACGAGTGGCTGAATGCCGCCACACTTCCGCACGATGACTTGGTTTTCATAGTCTTGGCAGCATTCTCCCAGAGCCCCAACGACATTCACAAGCACTTCTTCGGGCTGATCGGTTAGAAGTCCCACCAGCGTCTCAATGGCTTTGTACTCCCGAAACCTAGACTCATCATGAGAGAAGAGACAGTTATTTCTAGTACAGGGTTAGCTGATGATATTAACTGCAATAAAAACAACAACTAAGAATTGCTAAATGCCAACATCTTCAGTCAGTCCCTACAACAACCCTAAGATGTAGGTACTGTTTAATCTCCATTACCAGACAACCAGCTGGAAGCTTGGCAAACTGTAAGGCTTTTGACCACAGCACTGAATCACCAGGCTGAGCAGCCCTGAAGACAATCTGAGGGTCTCTGACTGCATTCAGCCACAGGATCATCTCCACCTTCCACAAACTACTTCCCTTGAACAAAGGACACTATTTCATGAAAATGACTTCTATATTAAATATTTTTGTTTTTAAATGCATTAAACATGACAATTGGGGTTAATAAGTCTTAAATTAAGTAGAAATTTGTGCTACTTAGATAAGAACAAAAATCTGTCAGACTCAGTTAACTTCAGTACTACTAATATATTTAGCATCTCTTTTGCCCACATAATTTTATTCTGATTTTGTTCACTATATATTTAAACCAAGCATGCTATACAAGGGTAAATATTTGAGATAATTTCTACATAAAACATTTTTCTCTTTCTAATAAATTTCAGCAGTTATTTATTTTGGTACCGGGGATTGAACTCGGGTCCTTGCACTTGCACAGCACGTGGCGAAACCACTGAGCTAAATCCCCGGCCTCCAGTAGTATTTTTAAGAATGACACAGCTGAATTTTTACTGCTGAAATCTGGGGAAACTTAATTACAATAATAGCTTAATTAGCTGAGGTTATTTTTAATAAATTCATAACTTCATCACACATTTTTTTTTAGTGACTTAGCAAGACCATGTTTCAAAATTAAATAGAAAGAAAGAGAGAAAGAAGAAAGAATGAGAGAAAGAGAGAAAAAGAGAGGGAGGGAGGGAGGAAGGAAGGGAAAGAAGGAAAGAAGGAAGGACAGAGCTGGGGTATAGTTCAGTGTGAGGACTATGAATTTAATCCCCAGTATCCCCCCAAAAAGTTTGATTTCTGTCTTTTTCAATTTTTGTTATGTTTATTGACATGGGAAGTAAGTTGTTTTCATTTATCCAAATAGGTGAACTTCCTTAATGATGTCAGCTGTGAGGATCTTGTGTGAGAACTCCTTTCAGAACTTCAGATTAGCTAAATCTTGGCTCACTTTCTCATTTTTATTTCAGCTTTTGAATACGGCAAGTAGTAGGGGCCAAATTAATATTTTATCCGTTGGTTCACTGATGATTCCAGTGATACTTAACCAGTGAGCCAGTTGACACAATTATGTAGTGAATAAACATTGTCCTCCCTGACTTGAAACGCATCCTTCACATGTGTTGAATCTGATCTATGTCTGTCAGCTTCCAGTCTTTCTGTCCTGTTGAACCCCTTTGTCAACTTATAGAAGTTCAGTAGTAAGTTTTAATACGTGGCTAGGCAAATGGATTGCCATTCTCAGTAGATTTCTTAAATTCTAAAAGCAAAACTTGAAGCAAATAATTACACAGTATTCCCTCTAACACGCAGAGCCTCTCCCCTTGAAAAAGGAGGAACCACCCCCCCAGCAAACCATAAACAATAGAAAAAAAATGTGTTGTGAGTTCTCTTAGCCACTGCTACCCTTTAGAGTCTTACTTATGCATGTTTTCTGTTGACCCCATTTTTGACAGGGGGTCTTTGTGAAATGGGTAAGTGGCAAATTGTTTTTCTAGCTTTAAAATGTCCTTTTTTTTTTTTTTGTACCGGGGATGGGTACCTTGGATTTGGGACCTTGCGCTTGCGAGGCAGCCACTGCTGAACTAAATCCCAGGGCATAAAATGTACTTTTTGATTAGGACATATTTCAGAAATTTAAGTACAGAAAATGATCTAACAGACATTGCTGTACAACTGGGATTAAATGAGTTTTAACATTTTCTTGTTTTTGTTTCAGTAGGATTGGGTTTTTTTTGTATATCCTTTTATTGGTACATTTTAGGTGTACAACATAATGACATTCATCACTGGAGATATGCACCTTTACATACTCTCTTAGTTCTTATCTTTCCCCACATATTCTTTTTTAAGTAAACTTATTTTGTGTTAGTTGGGACCCGTGATTTTCTTGATAAGAGAAACTATTAGAGACAAGGAATTGCCTCAAAATAATCATTAAGAATGTGAGCTCAAAATTTATACAGAGATATGAATCTAAGGATTAGAATAAATTACAAATAAATACAATAAAATTACAAATAATTTAAAATAAAATTTGATGAAATTATATTTGAAAAATACTTTAAGAGCGCCCAGTTGGAATTGAGCGGACTCAGCTGTTTATCTCTAGAAAATGAAAACTAATAGTACAGCTTTCTGTCTCTAATGATTCAGTGGGGGCATTTCTCCCTCCACTTGGTAGGTCTCTGCAGGAAACACCAGAGAGATTTCTACCTTAAAAGGCTGAAGCCGCCTGTTTGACAGAAATCCTGCCAGCCACCCCGTTAGCCCTACTCAAGCCCTTAAACCCACTGCCTGCTCATGGGGTGGCAGAGCAGCCTGTCATTTCGGAGAATTCCCTCATCTGCCAACTGAACCCACACAGTGTGCATCTCCGAGTGACATCACAGTCAGCTCTTTGAGAGAATAGCATGAGATTCGAAGGATGTGTTCCGGGCCACATCTGTATCAGAGGAGGTTGAGGCGAGCCTTCTCTTACTTGGTCACATTCTCTTTGCTGATGGAACATTTCCATATCGCCCCTGTGACGGCGGCCAAGCGCTGTTTATTGTCGGTGTTACTGAGTAGACTGGCCAGGGGCTTGAGTCCTCCGTGCAGCCTAACCAGGTCGCGGGTTTCCTCGTCTTCAGCACACTACACGGAAGGGAAAGCAGAGGCTGTAAGTGACCAAGGCACCTCCAGGGCATGGTGGTGGTTAAAGCAGCTGCCACTCTAAACATGGTCCTCAACCTTCTGTGGTTCCACTTAGGATTTTTCAACTTCAGGATGGTATAAAAGGAATGCACATGCGCAGGTCTTTTCCTGGCTTGCTGACTCACTTCACCGCACTCTCTGGTGATGCTGGACAGCGGGACTGAGCTGCAGCTCCCTGCCAGCCTGGGACTATGATGCTGAACGACCACTACTCCTAGTGCACTGCGTGGCTGAGCTGTGATGTTCAGTAGTTTAGGTAGAGACAGTGCCTTTTCAATTTACCATGCTCATCAGGATGTAACCCTATCATAAGTCAAGGAGCATAGACAGTAACCAGGAAACTCCTTTCCAGAGGATCATTTTCTGAAAGTGCCTCTAAGCAAAACATCATTCTTGGCCATCCTGGCAGCCACCTGACAGTATGGCTCTCCCCTTGTGTAGTTTTTGGGAATGCTTAAGTTTCTACTTATTTGCCAATTCTCTCTAGCTGGTTCTGAGGTACCCTGTGCCTCTACTAAGCCAGAAACAGAGGTCAGTAAGAAACCAAGAATACTCAGGTCCCCTGCATTGCAAAAAATGGAATAAGTAAACTAATCATAAAAAGCATAGGCACACAGGTGTGCAAATATTCATTCATATTGTTTGGGAAGGAAAAACATTTCCCAAGACCACTGCATTTGAGTAAGATACGTAGAAAGCAATATAGGTGTACGTGTACTTATTTAGCTATTTTACACTAAGCAAATTGTTTCAGGAGGCATTGAGAGTTGGACAGGTCTTTCGGAAATGTCCATAGTCAGTACACTGACATGGGTTTCTCTCTGACACAGGCAAGTACGGTACTGACTGTCATCAGAGGACAGTGGTTCTCAGGCCTACAGGTGCACGAAATCCCTGGGATACTTATTTAAAATGCGGAGCCCAAGGCCCCTCCCGAGAGAAGGTGACCACATGTTCAGTCCTGCCTTGAGCTGGGTGAGTAGGGACACCACAGTGGCCAGCTGCCCCCACCTGGTAAATGGCCATGGCACAGTGCTCCTGCAGCTGCTCATTCTCGCTATTTAGGTTCTTCACCAGGTTTTCAATGATCCTTTCTGCTTTGATTGCCACTCGGTAGTTTTCCTAGGAATAAAAACTTAGATATTTACATCCATCTAATGCATAAACACGAGTATCTACTTACACTTATTAATAATTATGCTGAACAAACTTTCTAACCGAATAAATAGTAGAGTCCAGGCTTAAGATGTCTATAACACAATAAGAGAACTAATCTGCAATGAAAAAAAGTATCCCACAGGGATTGATTTTGTTAATGTACTAGTTTGATCTTTTGTTCCAATAAAAAGTTGATGATTTGGGGAAAAAATCCTTTACAGTCAGGATAACCTTAAATATTATTGTTTTGGCTAAAGAAAGTCAATGTAAGAAGGCAAAGGAAGAAGAACTGCTTTAAGCACCTCGGATGCACATTCTTGCAACGTGCCCACCACTGGAATGAGCATGTCTTCGTGGGATGTCTTCAGTAACCGCGCCAGCAGAGGGATGCCCCCCGCCTTACGAATGGCCTCTTTGTTGGAGTAACTCTTACTGCAGCTCCATAAAGCCAGTGCCCCGCAGCGGGCCACTTCCACATCTCTGGTTTCATACAGACTCAACTGAGCAGGCTCCACTGAATTCTGGGCACAGTCCAGCAGGGCAACCTGCAGAGCAGAAGAATGCCGTGCGGCTGAGAATCTTTAAAGCACCACTTCTGGCGTCCTTCAATAGCTGCAGAATTGCTATTGCACCTCCGTCAAAACCAAGAACACTTTAAAAAATAACTTTTATATTACACAGTAGCCAGTGAAAATAAAGAAATAAAGCGCTTCAAAAGACCTTCCTCTGGATTTGGGAGCTCTTATATTTCCTTCTCACAAGAAACTTAATCTCACCACAATAGTATTTCCTTAATAGGTCTCTAATATTTACATTATTAATACGTATAAACCACATTCTCAGGCCTAGTATCTCAGAAAATTAAGGTCCCTAAAACCATCAGAACTTTCCAGTGAGAACTGAATGTTTATATACTCTCAAAGCCATGAGACCTTTTGGAAGCATGTAGCCTTCCACGTGGGCCAGGGTCCCCTTTCTCCTAACCAAAGTCACTAAAGTCTTTAACCAAAAGGTCTCTCCCAAGCTGTGGCTGGAATTATAAGAGGAAGCTGCCCTCTGTTCTTGGGGGTTCACTGACTTTATCTGGGGATGTGATAATCATCATCCATATATCCATTCTTCTTTCCCTGCTGGACAAATTCCACAGATCCTGCCTACTTAGTCGAGACCCTCATCCCAAACTTGGAAGGGAGTATCTCGGACTAAGTTCACAGACTCAGTCCCAACTCCAGACACCAGGGCAGAGGTTCAGTGCAGCTAGCTTGAGTGAGGTGGACACCATGAGCTGGTTGGTACAGCTCTCACCATGATCCAGTTATTACAGGGCAGAGTATTCACATGGCGCACAGCTACCAACTACCAACGGGACAGCAATGCCAGAAACACATTCGGAGACAGTGGGCCGGGACACGGCGCGGACAATCCGCGGATATCTGTGTGCTGCATTTAAGCCCTCGACCTGATTCACCCCAACTCACCCCATAGGTGCGAGCATCCCGGTCGCCCGTGTCCCTGGGTCTGGCCACATTAAACCACCCGCATCTTCCAAACCCCTCAATTGCCCTGGCCTCACGTTCCTGAAATGCTTTTCCCTGGTGGCTCGGCCTAACGAATACTCCCTTCCAAAACTCAGCAAAACGTCTTCTCTTTCCAGCCTTCCAATAGAATCGACAGATCACCCCTCGTTTGTGCCTCTACCATTTTCAGGACTGATGTAAGTTAAATACCTAAAACTTGCTGTGACACATTTAGTTCCATCTGTGTCCTCTCGTCCCCCACGCCCACCACTAGCCGGCGACATCCCTGGTCGGGACAGGCTGGCGTTTCTGTCCCCAGCACCTATTCTACCTCCTGACGTGCACAGCACTGCTCAGGAAATGTCCGAAATGCTTTGCAGTGAAACAGCGAGCGAGACACAGATACAGCATGGCACTGACAGCGTGGCTGCGTACACGCCTGCGGGACCTGGCCGTGGGTCCCACCTGGATGTACCACCCCTGCCTGCTCACCTACCAGATGCCTCTCCAGAGCCCAACGTCTGCCAGGCAGGCACACCCACGCTGCCCGCTCGGACCTGGACCAAAGCACTTGTTCACAGGCCTAGACCGGCCCTGGTCCACCTCACTACAGCCGTTTCTCTCACTCGCAGTGTTCACGGGGACTCTTGCCTGGTAAATGCGTAAAAACACATTTCTACTGGAAAAGCAGTCATCACTGCAGATGAAGCCCCTGTGAATCATTTTGTGTATATATTTCTAGCCATATCTCAATATCGGTGGGTAGCTCTTTAAAAACTGGAATCGTGGATATCAACAGTTTGCAACCCTGTTATCATTCCATATAATATTAATATACATTTCATATACTACTAAATGTTCTTCACAATCGTAATACTGATCACTGGCTATGGATGTTTCCCATGGATAACTGCACCCTTTTACTGCCTGCATAGTACTCCCACCTGGGCCAATGAGAGCCCAGTCTTCTAACTCGCAGTGAGGGGCTGTCTCCCTGGGAAGTGCGCACATTGGGATCAACATGTCAGAGGCCAGGCTTCCGACCCGAGTTCTGCCCAGCAGATCTGCCCTCCTCTCACGGTCTCTGCCCATACACACAAACGGATCCTTCCCGTGCTGTGGATGACAATTAAAATGTTTCTATTTCTTTGAAAAAGGATTATCAATACCCTCTTGTGGCCACTTCATAATGCAAGTGTACAAAAATTATTATTATGGATGTATAACGCAAAAAGATGACCCCAGAACATGCCTCAATGGCCAGTAAGTGTTGGAAGTGAGCAGGAAGGCACCGTGGTACTCACCAGTCTGGTGATACCCCCGTGCTGTCGCACCAACCGGCGGGCTCGCTTGAACTGGGCGACATTTGCAATGGTCTCAGCTGCCAGACACTTCAGAGTCTTGTAGGGAGAACTGAGTATATTGACCATAATTGGTAAGCTCCCAAGGTCAACAATATTACGCCGGATTTGAGGGTTACGACTGATTTCCTTCAGGATTTTTAATGAGCCAATCTACATGGGGGGAGTGATAGATGAATGAATGCTTAGTACATAACCAGTGCTTTGTTTTTAAAAATTCCAACTCTACCTAAAACTCCTCCCCAATTAAGTTTTTTAAGAGACAGTTTCCATCCCCAAGGGTTACACACATCTCTTGTACTTTCCTTCATTAATGTAAACAAACATTCATTGCTCTGGAAGCAAAAGAACTAATGGAAAAGAGCAAAAGAGAGAAAAAAATATAGGGAGAATGTTACCAAGAGAGAACCTAAGTAAACTCGCTACCGTCACTGATCATCTAGTTGGCTTGAAAAACCACTAATTTTGGAGATCGCACAGCCGGGCAAAGCATGGCTAGTCTCCCACTGGCTTTGCGTGATGATGCAACAGTTGTCTCCATTACTTTTCCGAGATGTAAAGGCTGCTACTGTGAAAACAATGTCTCTTCACCGGGACCTGTGCATGTCCAATAGGGTGACTGGAAAGAGATAAAAAGACTGGGCAGGGAAGCATAGTGGCTCACGCCCACAATGCCATGACTCTGAGGCATGAGGATTCCAAGTCCCAGCCCAAACTGGGCGACTCAGGGACTTAACAAGACCCTGTCTCAAAATAAGAAATTCTTTAAAAGGGCTGAGGGTGTGGCACAGTGTGAAGGCCCTGGGTTCCCCATTACTGCAAAAAAAAAAAAAAAAAAAAAAAACCTGATATCATTGTCTCTAAATTGTGTCTCTCTCTTTTCCAGCCTTAACTTTTGGGCTAAAGACACCAACCAGCTTCCATGACTGGAAACACTAAACCACAAACGGAGTGAGAAGAGGTGGTATCTGAGCTCCTTAAAGATCTCCCTCTATTCCCAGGAAATACATGAATATTCCCCCCCTTTACTGGCCTGTCGCTCTGCCTCTCATTATTTCTATCTTTTATGTGTGACTCTTGGGGCCCCTGGAGTTGAGAAGCTGAGTGGAGAGCAAAACTCCTGTTTCTCCATACTTCAGTCACTGAATAAGCTTTCTTCTTAGCTTCTGCCTCTGGAGTGACGGGCCTTATTAAGTGGCAGCAGAACACAACCCTTTCTCGGCTACAAGCAGAGAGAGCAAGCAAGCTGACTATCAACACTAACAGCTACAGGTAAAGGTGAGAAACAAACAGCAGGGCATGGCAGCCACCTCACACTGGGAAGACAGCCTCGAGGAGGTGGCAGATGCACGCACTGGAGAAAGCCACTCACCTTACATTTGACTTCATCTGTATCAAGTAAGTTTATTAAAACTTCCAGGCCTCCCACATCCCTGATCGCCAGCTGACAGGTCTCTTGAGCTAGGTTGAAGTCCCGCATGGAACACAGCGCAATCACTGTGGCCGTCTGATTTCCTCCCTGGGAAGATGCAATGCCAGAGAAAGGTTCCATAAAACCACGCTCCCGAAGAAAAGTACTAAATGGTTAGGAATCCATGAACTAGGAAATGTGCCTCCCCATACACGGCATATTAAAATTTTTTAAGTTCTGTAAGTGAGCTGTAATTTGTTAAATGAATCATGTCAAGCTGAAGCAGGGCAAAGCTGCATGAAGCGCCATAAAGTGTTATTCCAATTCAGAGTCAACATTTAAAGGTGGTCTGTCTCCTTTGAACAGCTGTGACATTAAGTGGTACTAATATATTAAGGAGAGTCCAGGGGCCTGCTCTGACAGACTCAGGTAACAGACGGTCTGGCCAGTTTTAAACAGTGTGATGTATAATCCAGTCTGTGGCTGCAAAGCATTCTTACAGACTGTATGGCCTTTGTCCCTGTTTCCTGGCATATAACTCCTAAAACCCTTCTGCAGCTTCAAAGCGGTGTCTTTTGTGGACTAATGAGTTGGTCATGGCTGGCTCCCCATCCTGGGCTCCTGGATGGGAACTGGTTACCAAGGAGACCCAGGTTCCACTAAAGGGTTAGGACTCTCAGCTCCAACCCCTTTACCTCCAGGGAGGAGGAGGAGGAGCTGAAGGTCAAGCTGATGAGCAATGGTCAATGATTTCATCAATCATGCCTGTGTACAGTCTCCATAAACATTCTAGAAGAGTTCGAGGAGCCCCAGACAGCTGAGCACAGGGAGGCCGCCAGAGGTGAGGGCAGGAAGCCAGGCCCTCTCCCCAGATGGTGCCCTGTGCATTTCCTCATTTGCATCTCTGTAACACCCTTACAGTAAACTAGCCAGTGTGCTTCCCTGCGTCCTGGGAGTGCTCCCACAGAACAACCGAAGCTGAAGAAGGGGTTTCGAGAAGCCCCGCTTACAGGCAGGCCAGTCCGGAGCACTCACAAGCTGGCCTGGTGAGGGACGGACGGCAGCCTGAGACCAGATGGGCGGTGTCAGAGCGGAGTGGAACCGCAGATCCCAGCTGGCGTCAGCCGCTGCAGAACCTGCAGAACCCGCAGAACGCTCGCCTGCGGCAGGGAAAAGTCCCCTCACCTTTCGGGTCCCAGAAGCCCCTGTGCTGACCCCTGTGGCGTGAGAGCACGGGAACACTCTGTCCTCCACAGAGGTCCATGGAGCAGGCTGGAACAGACACAGACACGCTGGAGAACGGAAACTAAGCCGGCCCAGCAATGCAGAGAAAGCCAGAGTAGGTGAGGGGGCTGCGGGGAAACAGGAAGACCTAGAGATGGGCACATGGGCAGGAGGAGGAGGAAAGAGGAGCTTCACCCTGGTGAGCAACGAGCTTTGCAGATTCACCATCAGTGTCTATCGACCAACTGCCACAGGCAGAGCCGTGGTGAGCTGTTTCCCTAAGAAAAACACAACACCTAGGAGCTTGCCTTTTTAAATGACTGATCGGTGGATTAGACCTGCCAGAGATACACTGCTGCCTTGACACTCCCCGCAAGCACGGTGTGGAGGAGCAGGGTCCTGTCACCCAGGCTGTCACCGAGATCGCTGGCACGGCTCACAGACATACGGACATAACTGCGGTGCTCCTGCTGGGACTCAGAATAATTCTAACAAAGACTTTTGTAAAATGTGTTCCTAGAAGTCAGCCTTGGATTCCTTCTTCAAAGCAGTTCCAATGTCCCCCAGTTGCTCTGTTCTAAAGGGAGAAACTTCCATGTTTGTGAATCACCGATGTTGCCATTCTCTACCTTATACATCACACGTCGAATCAATACCGCTATTATACCACTGTTTCCTCCTAAACTCGCGTCTCATGCCGAAATCTAAGTGCCTCTGTAACAGTACCCAGAGGTGGTGCCTTCCGGAGGGGATTAGATTTTTCCAGGACAGTGTTTTTGTGGATGGATAGATGCGGCTGTCCCTGAGCCGGTTAGTCATCTCCACCGTGTCGCTGAGAGTGCTCTCAGACCATGATGGCCTTTGCCAGGTTCTGACTCAGCCAGGAGGTCTTCCGCAGAGGTCAGCACCTTCACACTGGACTTCCCAGCCCCCAGAGGTGAGAGAGAGAGATCCCTTTCTCCACACTCCCAAGTCTCGATATGCTGTCACTGCATCAGAAAATGGACTGACGCATACAGAAGGCAGATAATATATATCATTATATATTGAAATATCCACACATTATATATTTATGAATATTTCTATACATTCAAAGTTTCAAATACATATAAACTAAAATATATAGAGATGATATATATAATGGGCTGAGCATGGAACATGGAAATTACATACAAGCCGTCAAAGCCCTCCCTTCTTGGTATCACACATGTGCACGTAGGCAAGCCCCCTTGTGAGTTCAAGACAATACATTACTTTGGAAATAAGAAAAGGAAATGTGGTGCTTAGGGAGCATGCATCAAGAAGAGAGGTGGGCAAGGGTTAGAGTTTCACTTCTCTTTACGAACAGGCCTTCCTGTTCTCCAGAAATGCCACGAGGAACTTTCCCATGGCGATGTCGCCAACCATGCCCCTGGCTCACACTCCTCCTCCCCGATGGTAATCCAGGCTGATCCTGTGTTCAATGTTAAGTTTACAAGGACTAGAGCTTTCATTTTATTATTTACATTTGAAATAAATGATGCTTTACAGCTTTTAGTCTTTTCTCCTTACTATCAAGAGAAATGTTCCCATCACCATGTTCCTACAGTTGGCTTTACAATACAAAATAATAAATCCTCTCTTTATTAGCTGTCAGGTCATTAACTCCTTTATTTGGCAATATGAAACTCCCCCATACTAGCACTTTCCATTTCTCTTTTTTTAAAAGGCAGACATTTTGTCAACCAAAAAGAAGGATGCAAATGAAGTACACAATATACAAAAAGGCAAACAATTCCCTCCTTTCCTCTGAATTTAAGTGGTCAAAGAGCGCCGGAAATTTCTCCTGGGGGTTTCTGAACGAACAGAGCTGGGTTCATACATGAAGAGCTGAAAATCCAAGCGGAGTTCCAAGGGCAGAGGGTTCTTCAGGCAGAGCGGTCGGATTCACACAGGGCTGGGAAGTGCCAGGAGAAACACAGTATCTTGCCTCAGTGGACCAAGGCTCCTCTCTCCCCAGCACGTCCTCAGAACGAAGAATGCACTGTCCGCCTCTCAGCTGTACACGACTGAGGACGTTCTCGACTGCTAGTCTTGCTTTATCAAATTTCCTTTGGTAGCAGTTTTCTGCCTAATCACTCAGTGTAATCTTTGTTTCCAATTTCGAGTTGCCTTCATTTTTATTTTCTACACTATGTCTACTTTTAAGCTTCATTTCAGTATCTACGCTGTAACCAATGACATAATTTTTTAAAAGGCATTTTAGAATAGTTGATCTCCAAAAGGTTAGAGTTTGCATTTTTTTTGGAACATCGAAACCTTCACCAATCTTGAAATCAAAAGCCTGACAATTAAAAAAGTTAGATCCTTGTAGAAAAAAAATTCTGTAAATCAGCTTTTTCTGAAAATCTGGAAACATATTCATAGGCCTGAGGGATTTTTTTAGAACAGTTTTTTATTAGGAAAAGTTAGTTTTTTCCACATTTCAGGATTTAGCTCTCCTCTTGTCACTGACCACACTCCCTAAAGGATTATAAATCTTTCAGAATGAATACCAGAAGACGGGAGCCAAAATATTCAGCACACAGAGCCACAAATGTTAGCCAATTGCTATTCTTTAAATACCAGCTATGTCAAAGAATTTTCAAATGTTCATTCCCCTCTGGCCATCCAGATGGCCTAACCCTCTAACTGAGGAGCACAAGCACTGTCGCTTCAGCTCAAGTCCCTGAGTGTGTAATTAGTTGCCAATACTGATTTCCACATTTTATCACGCATTTGCATCTGTGAGCTTTTAAGAGCTGGAGAAAACATAATAAAATACTGCATTACTAGCTTCCGAAATGGTTGGGAAAACACTTCCAATAAACTTTTCCGTTTCTTACATGAATGCAGTTCTTCCGCTGGTTGTCTTCCGGCGGCCATTGCTTCTCAGACTCGTGTCTCGCAGTTCGCGTTCCTGTCTCCAGGCTGGAGGTGTCGGTTTATCGTCACAGTCGGGTTTGAAACACGCAGAGATGGAGTGGATGCTGCACTCTCTTGCTTCTCTTAACATTTCTTTTTCTTTTCTTTTGTTACCTGGGATTGAATTCAGGACCTCGTGTTTGCCAGGCAGGCGCGGTGCCGCTCATCTACATCTCCAGCCCCAACATTTCTTTTTGAAAGACAAGATGAATTGAAGATATTTTTCTAAACAATTCTTGCTACTTTAAATGAAATCTTTGAAATTAGGAAGTGTCATCTACGGCCATACCACCCTGAGGTGGCTGATCTCGTCCGAAATCAGGAAGGGTCGCCCTCCCTGGCAGGCAGAGAAACCCCCCTCTTTACTGTCAGTGAGGGAGAAACACCTTTTTCTAAGCTGAGAGGAACGGTATCTTCAGGCTGCTTCAATCACTTTTGCCTTCTTCCATTCAGCAGATGCATCACACACTGTTTGGTATGATCGGTGACAGGCACCAGGGACAAACCCATAACCAAGACACAGCCCATGCCTTCATGGGGCTAATGCTTCATTGGAGGAGGAGAGTTTTAACTTTTTAAGCTCACTCACATAAATAAAAACTATTAAGTCTGCAAAGTGCTCCAGGGGCGTAGGGCTCTGGAAGCTCAGCATAGGGAACTAGGGCATCATCCTTGGAAGAATGGACTGAGATCTGGACAAAAGGGAGAGCTTTTCTGTGATAGGAGAGAAGGAGACAACCAAGGAAAGTGTACGCAAAATCCCTGTGTTACAACTCACGGAGCTAAGTTCTGGAAGCAGCCTATATGTCTACCAACAGAAGGATGAAACGAAGAAAATGGATTTATATAATATGGAATACTATGCTGCCATAAAGAAGGATACTTCTGAGTCCTCTGTAGGGAAATGGATGCTAATGTGATGATAATGTTAACTAATGTTA